ATTTTTGAAAAAAAAAAAAATTAAATCTTTTTATTTGACGCTCCACTGTCGCTATTGTTATTGTGGCTATTTTTCTTCGTTGGCTAAAGTGGATTTTCGTTTAGCTACCGCATTGCCGTCGGTATTTGCTTGTTCATCGTAGCTTTTGGGCATACAACCATCCAGCCGAGCAGAGCAACAAGTGTATGACGAATTACGTACGAGTTCGAACGCGAGTACCTACAGATTGATTACCATTCAATTTTTATTGTTGCATATTTCATTTGAGTACATATTTCATGATTAATAACACCCTTGGGGGGACATATAGAGTACATCTAAAAAGGGGGAAATATAATATTAAATGATAACAAATTCATATTTTACAATGTGCTAGGAATGCCTTAGAAAGCTATAAAGTAATAAAAACTAAAATGACGAAAACTAAGTAAACTATATACTATGTGTTCACATAGTAAGTGTTATAGGTAAATACATTAAGGAAAACTATACAATTAATTAGAGTAATGACATGATAACGGCTACAAAGTGTCTTCTTAGTTGAGGTGAGGTGCCATATTGAAAGCAAGAAAGTGCCAAATGGAAAAATAAAACTGCCAAATAAGGCGCTATATTTCTAAAGGAAAAGTGCATAACCAAAATAAGATAAATCACCAAAAAAAAATATTTCTCCAACCCATCGAGAAATTTATAGTTCTCAAGTTGATATCCAACTTGATCTCCAACGCATCTCTAACTTTGGGCTGGAAGTTGAGATGAACTTGAGAAAAAATAATTTTCTCCAACACGACAGCAGTGCTTTTAAATAATATACAAAAATATGCAAGAGGCAGCGTTGGCAAAAAAATATGCATTAGAAAGTATAAAATCGACGCGCGGATACGTAAAGAGTGATGGAGAAAAGAATTTATAATTATCAAGTGAAGAACTAAAGCTATATAAAGAAAGAAAATAAAACGCGAAGTGAATAAAAAAGGGGTACACTTAAACCCCTGAATTTTAAAGTAAGATTTATCGTAATACGATATTGATTAACTACATATTACAAGAGGAGTAAAAAAATAAAAAAATTAATATTTAAATTTATCTACATATGTCGTTTCAATCAAAAAGGTATCAATTATTTTGCTATTTAAATTTCAGTATTCAATGATTGGTCTCATCCATACCAATTGGAGAATCCCATTGAGGTTCAAGTTGAGGACTAGCTTTTTCTCAACTTGAGAAACAATCCTATTTTCATAAAATGAAAAATGAAAAAAGAAAAAAAAATGTTGTTGAGAACGCTGCAGCTGCGATCCTCAACTTGTGGTACTTTTGTGAAACAACGTTGGAGATTTGAGAAATTCCTTAGTGCTCGACTTAATCTCCAGTTGAGCTCAAGCTTAAATGTTTGTTTGGATATGACTATGTTTTTTGTTTTTAAATTGCGATTTGGCATCTTGTGCCATATTGAAAAATTTGGCGTCACTGGTTGCGAGTGAGACCGCATCTGTGCTTTGGATTCTGCTTTGGAAGTAAACAGGTATATTTTCGATTTGGGTAGAGAAAAACGCCACATAACCCAGTCGGTAAAATGTTTTTTTCAACATCCCTGCCATTCGAAGGTCGCAAGAGGATGTGTTTGTAAAGCAACGGAAGTCAAATAATAGAAAAAATCGGTATGGTTTCTCTTATAAGAGAAGCTAAGTCAGAGAGCGGGAAACTCTGAGCAAAAAAAAAAGTAGTTATGAATCGAGTACGGAAGGCAGTGGAGGATCCAGCGGGGGGAGGGGGGGTTTGGGGGTTTAACTACATGTCACTCAGTGGCGGACACACGGGCGTGTTTTAATACATAGACACCATATTATACATACATATGCGCCATATTAAAATACATCCCGTGGGTCCGCCACTGACTGACACGTAGTTAAACCCCCAAAACCCCCCCGCTGGATCCGCCACTGACTGACACGTAGTTTAACCCCCAAAACCCCCCCGCTGGATCCGCCACTGACGGAAGGTATATATGTCACTTCAAAAGATCAGAAAGAAGTGCACCTATTGGGCACATTTTTTTAGTTTAGCCGAGTGGCATATCTTAGCGTTTGCAAACGGGATTAAGAGATTGCTATAAAATAAATCATGCTTCATATTTCATATCTCATATCGCTAGCTTAGAGTGAAAAGTTGCTAAACTTCTCGTAGCCTTTTTCTTCCAGTAGTATTTTGCAAAATTTTGATTACAACATTTTGCGTATTCAAAGCAAAGTAAAACTCCATACGAATCGAATGGATTCGATCTTTATTAAAAGATTTCGTCTTATATTGACCTCATTGGATTTTCGGTGCCTCTTTTGGACTTAGCAAATTTGCCTTACATTGGCAATAAGCGAGAAAAAATTAAACAAGTATCTTAGTACTTTTCGTATCAAAGCATTTTTAGTTTCTCTAGCTTCCTATTTCAAAATATGACTTGTTATTTACATATTTTATATTTTATATTTTACATCTCATATTTTATATTTTATTTTTGTATTTTATATTTTATATTTGATATGTGATATTTGATATTTTATATTTTATTTTTGTATTTTATATTTTATATTTTATATTTTGTATCTTATATTTTATATATTATATTTTATATTTTATATTTTATATTTTATATTTTATATTTTATATTTTATATTTTATATTTTATAACGGGTGATTTTTTTGAGGTTAGGATTTTCATGCATTAGTATTTGACAGATCACGTGGGATTTCAGACATGGTGTCAAAGAGAAAGATGCTCAGTATGCTTTGAAATTTCATCATGAATAGACTTACTAACGAGCAACGCTTGCAAATCATTGAATTTTATTACCAAAATCAGTGTTCGGTTCGAAATGTGTTTCGCGCTTTACGTCCGATTTATGGTCTACATAATCGACCAAGTGAGCAAACAATTAATGCGATTGTGACCAAGTTTCGCACTCAGTTTACTTTATTGGACATTAAACCAACCACACGAATGCGTACAGTGCGTACAGAAGAGAATATTGCGTCTGTTTCTGAGAGTGTTGCTGAAGACCGTGAAATGTCGATTCGTCGCCGTTCGCAGCAATTGGGTTTGTGTTATTCGACCACATGGAAGATTTTACGCAAAGATCTTGGTGTAAAACCGTATAAAATACAGCTCGTGCAAGAACTGAAGCCGAACGATCTGCCACAACGTCGAATTTTCAGTGAATGGGCCCTAGAAAAGTTGGCAGAAAATCCGCTTTTTTATCGACAAATTTTGTTCAGCGATGAGGCTCATTTCTGGTTGAATGGCTTCGTAAATAAGCAAAATTGCCGCATTTGGAGTGAAGAGCAACCAGAAGCCGTTCAAGAACTGCCCATGCATCCCGAAAAATGCACTGTTTGGTGTGGTTTGTACGCTGGTGGAATCATTGGACCGTATTTTTTCAAAGATGCTGTTGGACGCAACGTTACGGTGAATGGCGATCGCTATCGTTCGATGCTAACAAACTTTTTGTTGCCAAAAATGGAAGAACTGAACTTGGTTGACATGTGGTTTCAACAAGATGGCGCTACATGCCACACAGCTCGCGATTCTATGGCCATTTTGAGGGAAAACTTCGGAGAACAATTCATCTCAAGAAATGGACCGGTAAGTTGGCCACCAAGATCATGCGATTTGACGCCTTTAGACTATTTTTTGTGGGGCTACGTCAAGTCTAAAGTCTACAGAAATAAGCCAGCAACTATTCCAGCTTTGGAAGACAACATTTCCGAAGAAATTCGGGCTATTCCGGCCGAAATGCTCGAAAAAGTTGCCCAAAATTGGACTTTCCGAATGGACCACCTAAGACGCAGCCGCGGTCAACATTTAAATGAAATTATCTTCAAAAAGTAAATGTCATGGACCAATCTAACGTTTCAAATAAAGAACCGATGAGATTTTGCAAATTTTATGCGTTTTTTTT